GAGAGAGAGAGAGAGAGAGAGAGAGAGAGAGAGAGAGAGAGAGAGAGAGACTGAATGGCAAAATTAAATATGGGTCAAATTGCGGCCGTGATCTATTTTGCAGTTGGAATTATTTTTTTTAATTTATTGGCCCAACATGGCTGAGTGGCAAAAATTGGCAATGTGCCGAATCGGTGCGACAATTATTTTGCACTGTAAATGATTTTTTTTTAATTTTTTATTATTATTTATGGAAAGAACATGACCTCATCTATGGATTCTTAAAATTTCAGATTTTTGTGCATGTTCGTTCGAGCATAGAAAATCATAAAAGTTGCCTCTTGCAAAACGCCTGTTTCGTTGTGCCTGACCTCCCTGTTTTGAGAAGAGAGGGCTCAATGCCTAGGCCTGAAGGCCCTTCTGCAGTTCACATGCCCTCACTTCTTTTTGGGGTCCGCTTCTACCCGGGGTCCGGTCCAACGCTCCCCACTTCTTTTTGGGGTCCACTTCCACCCGAGGGATAGAAAGATAAACAAACATATGCAAATGTAGACAGAACGTGCAAGGTTTTACTTTCACAGCATACACGTAATGTTCATAGTATGCGAATCCAGTCGCGATTACCCTTCTACCTCACTGCTCAGGTAATCATTTCAACCACTATCCTCAGTATTTATACCCTTCGTTCCCAGTCTTTCTCCGCCACTTTCCCTATCCTTACAGTGTACTCATCATCTATCCTCAGGAACTCCCGCAATCGTTCTCTGTGTTGTCCTTGTCGTCGTCGATTTCCAACATGCCTTCAATCTGGAGTTACTTTCATCGTATATTATGATTCTGTTCGTTGATTGATTTCGTCACCCTTGTTTCCAGATATGTTCATTCTGTGTTCGCATTGTCTGATGTAATTTCAAGTTTTAGAGATTGGTGGTAGCATGTTTCAAAAGATTTAAGACATTCCAACTCTTTCGTTTGATCTTCCTTACTTGCTATTATGATCATCATTACATCGTCCACAAAACTCATACCGTGGATAAGTTTCTCATCAATTTCAATCTACGCACACCATCTGTACTCGTCGAACGTGCATACCATGTTAGCAATGGGTGGGCTAGAACCCTTCCCCATTGGTATCCCCATTACTTGGCATAATAATGTTCCTTGTACTTTGAAGTTTGAAGTATGCGTGTTTGATGTCATAGTATAACAGATCCATTAGGCACTCAATTTTTAATGTTCTCCATCCGTAGGTTTTGTTTGCTTTTCCAAAGTTCATGTACTTTTCTCTCATCTTGTAACACAAGTGGGTTTTCCGCTTTTCTTTCGCCGTTTTCATCATCCATTGCATGACATTTAAAATATGTGTGTGATCGAGATTCGAAAACATATCTTTGACGTCGTATGTGGAGCAGATTATCGTAGTTATATCCCCGTATGTTTCTTTTGTTACTTGATTGCATTTTTTCAGTCTAGATAGTAGTTGGCTCGTTCCTTTCAGTGAGAAACCAACTTTCAATGCTTGATACATGAAGTTGATAGCTCTTGATAGTACCTTCGATGCTTTCCGAGATGACTCCTTATATGTCGACACAATTGGTCAGCGTCTGGTGACGTCCTTGTTTTTTGAAATTGTATACGCATTTCCGTATGATCCCTGTTCATCCCATTCTACAATTTTCTTCAGCCCACATCCATGATACGTATTTTTGGCCAATTGAGTGATCTCAGATTCCGTTTGTTGTATAATTTCGTAGTGATTCGATTCCGAAAAGAATTTTTGAGTCTTCTCGTACCAGATTTTACGGCATTCCATAAAAGTTTCTTCATGATTTATTTAAAATAGTGATAGGATACATTGTGTCAATCTTCTTTTTAATTCCCATACTTCTGATATTTGAAGAAAAATCTCCATATCATTCTTCTTTTCGATGCAAGTAGAGACATCTATTTTAATTTTTATTTTCTTCCTCAGTAGTCGTGGTATACTTGCAATGATAGTGATGATTGTCCTTTCAATTTCTTCCTTTCTAATTCTTTCGTTCAAATGGAGTACGTTTTTTGCATTCCACAAGAGCTGATTTTCTATGATTTCACTTAATCTGCAGGCAATGTGGTTCTCAATTTTTGAAAGTTGGGATACGACACAATTACAGTCCGGTGCTTGTGTAAGCACCTGTCTGTGATTGTGTAATATTTTCCCGATTGTCTTTGATTTTTTAAACATCACACGCATCTGAGCTGTCAAATCGTTTGCCAAATTGTTATTACTTACGTTTTCCAAGATACACTCGGTTGTTGTGTTTCTCACTTACATCAGATCAATGCATGCATCAAATGAAATCTTAAATATCAGCCTTCTCTTGATATTGAATGCAAACTTCTTCTTTGAAATTCGTGTGAATACGTCTTTAATTGTTCGTTTTTGCTTCTTTCCGATAATCGATCCCACCTTTGACAGAAGAATCAGTATATCATCTAACGATAATTTATACAGTTCCCTCCGTCTCCATGGTGCCCTCAAGCAGTTAATCAGAATATTTATATGTTTGTTTGTTTTCGGTCTCGTATGCACCAGTTGGATCACATAGAAGATACATCCATTTTCGATTCGTTTTCTGCATTTTTTTAGCTGGAACTTCGTGTTGTCAATTTTCACAATTGTTGATCCGAATGTTGGTTTAATTACTTTTCATTTTTTATTCCATAGTTTTTCAACTGTGTAATAAATCATTGCTTTCGGTTGAAGTATTGATGTTAACTTCGTAGTGTAACCCGATCGAACCGATTTAAACAAAACAGGTATATTCTGATTCACCTCATTGTTTTATTCTTCTTCCTCTTTCTCCTTCTTCGTCTTCAATTTTTTGGAGTCTTCCTGCATTTTCCCCTTGTATTCAAGAATGGAATCAGTCTCATAATCAGTGCTGCTTCCATTTCTATCACCTCTGATCTCACTCTCGTCCAAATGGGTATCAAAACATAGTTTTCCCAACCAAATTTGTGCAGCCAACTGTATAGTTTCCGCTGTGCTCCTCTATTTGGATTCTTGGGCTAGTTTATGTGTTCAGTCCATCTCTTGTCGGGCTGTCTTCCTGTCCTCCGCACGTACATATATCTACATCAAGGTGAAACTCCGTGTACTAACTAGTTGCTCAATTTTCGTTGATAGTTTGTGTATCTGCTCCCACTTCTGTGTCGTGGTGAGGTCGCCTGATGCTGAGGTATCTTCTACCTTCCCGACAGATCTTCGGCGCTCGAAGATGTGTCGGATGAGTCATACTCATCACTCCCGCTTGA